TGGGCTCTACTTAATTTCCCTTCTTGTGAGAAGAGGGGAAAATGGGTCATTACCTTTCAAGGTCTGCTGTTCAAATGGGGTGGAAAATATTTGCTACCTGATAGACATTCTCAGCCTGCAGGGAGATGCCTGCCTGACTTGACCTTCACACAGGTTACCCTCTGCCTCCTTTGGCCCAAGTAGGCATCCTTTATGTCGGGAAGCTCTACCCCACCACTTCCCCCTGTCCATGCGCCCACTATTCCTGCCACATCTCCTGTCTGGCGCTGGGTTACCCACCTCTTCTCTCTCTTGTTCCCTGAAAACAAGGTTTTACAAACTGCTAGTCTTCAGTAACCCAATGGACAGCATCATCGGAGGTGCTCAGAATATACCTCCGGAATGAATCATAGGAAAAATACCTCCTGAGTGCAGGATCCGTGATAAAGGCTGTGATCCCTGGTGCTTGGTTTGGCATGTTAAGGGCAGCTCACATTGGCCAGGTGATTCCGTCATTATAAAAACGTGATAAAGCACACAGACCTGTATGGTGTAGCCGACACCGCATCTGAAATATGGTGTCTATAGCTTGGTACTGTGGTATAGAGGGTCCCTTGTTGACCAAAATGCCATTATCGCTGGGTATATACCTGCATATTCATGATATTCTGTGTCAGGGACACTTACTCTTGGTTCTATGTAGGAAATGATGTGAAATTGACTGGGACAGCCTTCCCAGCCCATTTTCTGCTCACGTATATAGATGGGCCCCAGGGTTGACATCTGCCCCAAAGCTGTCTGACTAAGCCATCTAGACTTCATACATTATACATCCTCCAGTGTCTGCAGAGATCAGTCTTGCTGCACGGCCTCTGTCCATGCCTCTCCTCAGATACCCCGCTTGGTCTGGCCCACTTATACCTCCCTGCTCTGTGATCCTTTATAAGCGGTGCACATTCTCAGGATACCATGCTCCAGTATATTTCAGCTTGTCATGTATAGCAGGTGCTTGATAAATAACTGTAGGATGATGAATATAATAAGAGATGAGGGCGCTATTTTCGATGTAGAACCACGGGCCGCAGTGAATGCAGAAGAGATGAGTAGTATGAGATGTGTCCAGAAAGTAGCGCCACCAACACAATAATCCATGCGCCATATTGGAGACTGCATCCAGCTAAGCTCTCTGACTTGCATGCAACAGGACATGAATTGAGAGTAGGATGTTTATTGCAAATTGTGCATAATAAAGTTTTATTAACTTACAAAACTGTATACATTTCAGGAGTACATTACGAAACTCTATGTATTATGCATGTATAAACCTCACCTACCACCCTATTCTAGTGCCCAGCCCTTTCCACTATCAGGTTGATGCCCTCTACCCTTCCCTCGCAGCTCCTTTCTCCTCCCCCTTTGGTAGCCACAAAGCTTTAGTAGAATCTAAGCATTGTTTTAATGTTACTTGTTCATTCCTTTGCTTTGGTGACTCACATTCCACATATGAAATCATTCCATAACTGTGTTTCTCTTCTGACTTATTTCGCTTAGCATAACCACCTCAAGGTCTGCTCATGTTATCGCAAAAGCACAATTTCATCTTTTTAATGGCTTTGTAGCATTCCAGTGAGCATATGCATACCATAGCTTCTTTATCCAGTTATGTGTTGATGAGTATTTTGGTGGTTTGCATGTCTTAGCTATTGTGAATACTGCTATTCCAACAGTATAATAAGAAAAACATAGGAAGTAACCAAAATCTCTTTCAGGAGGGGAATGTTTAAGGGATTGTGGTATATTTGTGTAATGAATAAAATAATTATAATGAATAAACCAGATATTGAAATTTTAATATGGTGTTAAATCTTAAAGCCATGAAAGTAAAGTTAGTTAGACTAGAAATAGACAGAAAATTTAAAAAGTAAGCATTGGGCCTCCCCTGGTAGCACAGGCAGTTGAGTGCAGCGCTGTGAAGCTGTCCTCAGCCTCTGCAGCACTGATTCAATCCCAGCTGGCCAGCGGGGTCCCACATGGCAAGTAGACCTCTCCTGTCTCACCCACTGCTTCCCTCAGCAGTGTATTTCATCAGTCTGCCTGTTCTGTTCCCCGCTCTGTCTCTGGTGAATCCTCTCACCCTCCTGCGCATCTGGCCTGTACCCCAGTTCCTGTATAAATAAATAAATAAATCTTTAAAAAAAAGTAAGCATTAAGAAATACTTTTAAATACACCATATATTGTTATTAGATGTACAAAAAACAAAAACATAAAATCATTCATGAAAGTGACACTAACCTCCTAAGAACACTTGTTACCCTTGGAGAAAGGAGGCCTAGAATGAGATAGAGAAGTTCTTCCTTTATCTGTAACATTTTGTTATAATTGGGATGATAACATTTTATTATAATCATATTAGTTTCTGTCCTTTTCTGTTATTTTAAAATACTTTATACTTCTAAAAAGTAAGCCACACAAAAGAAAAAAACTGGAGAATGGGAGGATGATTCTGCATTTCCACATTCAGTCTTCTGTTCACAAACCCCCCTCTTTTCAACTAGCCTGGCAAACTATGTGAATCACATCTGCCACTTAGGACTCGCCAAGTCTTAACACTATTTAAAAGCATCAGTTCTCAGTTCAGTCTCCAGAGACTGATAGATCTACCATCGACCTCTCCAGAGACTTCAAAGTATGCATCAATATCTTTCCTCGTGGTTTATAGCTCCCACCTACCCCATTTTTTCTATGTGGTGGAGCATCTATCCAACCTAATTAGAATTAGTTTCTGCAGTAAAATTTAATAAAGTTCTCTTGCATGTGTTTGACTGGGATATATTTTCCTGGAGAACCTATCACTCTATTCTCTTGAATTGTGACTTTGTGCTTTTTTTTTTTAACCTTCCCAAATAATATGCTTGTGCATTTTACTTTTCTGAAATTGTTTTTATATTTAGGGAGCAAGTTCAGGGGTGTGCTGGATTGGGGGATAGTGGGGGACAGTTGTGTGTATCCTCCCAACTGGTGTTCAATGATGCCACATGGGTGACTTGAAAATGACCATAAAGGGGGCATTTACACCACAGGAATTGGCAAGCACTGCAAATCAAAGTGATTTTCATTTCTTTTTTTCCTCTGGAAAGCTGACGGTTGAACATTTACTAGCCTACCACTAAGGGGCATCAAAGTTTTGTGAGTTGTGCAGGGCAAGTAGCATTTTCCATATTTTACACATGTAGAAATAAAAAGTCTAAAAGGGGCAAGTCACCTGAGCCACAAGACTCCAAAGAGGCCTCGCTGGGGCCCTGGTCTGTGTGGTGCAAATGAAAAAGCCCTGGCTTTGGAGTTAGGCAGATCTGAGTTTGAAACTGATTCAGGTTTCCCTCACTATTAATTTGGTAGATAATTTTTTGGGTCTGGGCAGACTCAAACATTTCTCCATAAAATAAATGGTCATGGTGTTCCTAAACCCCCCAAATAACCTCTCAAATTGTACCAAGAAGGAACATTCTCCTTTCCAAAGACCACAGGTATAAATGTTCTCACCCTGTGAATTGTTCAAGTACCTGTCTTGGCCCCTCAGTTTCCCCTCTGTAAAATAAGAATGACAACATCCAGCTTAGAGAGGTCATATGAGCATTAAGTGAAATGATAGTTGCAAAAAACCTAACAACGCAATAGGAGATGTGGATTAGATGTGATTGACCCTTTTGACTTAAAATTCAGATCTTTGTGTGCCATCCCCTAATCCTATGGTTGCTTTATTTCACCTTGACCTGACCAAACACCTTTTGCAAAATGTGCCGCTGGAATAAGAAAAAAGTCTCAGAGTTGACATTTATGTGTGAGTTGAGGAAATAGTTTTTTTCCAATATTCTCAGAAATGTGTGTACTAGGTATCAACTGGGCTCATTTTTCAATTGCCTGGAGTTTTCTCCACTGACCATTCTGCTGAGCTAAGCATCCTGAAAAGGATTGATTTGGGGGCCCATGGGCGCTACAATTCCATCCACCAAATGAACTGCACTGGCCTGCAGGGAAATTCTCTGGACTTTTCGAGTCTGTGCTCTGTGCCCTCCCTCCCGACGTGGCAGTGGACAGCTGCTTCCAGGCCATGCAGCAAAGCAAAAATGTACTTTTCTTTTTAGACTTTCATTCATTAATTTATTTTTGCCTGAGTAATGCACTGAGTTGTTTAAACATTTTTTAGAAATATAAAAGCATCTCCAATGGCAATTTCCCTCCCTATATAACCAATCTCCATTCACCCAGGTCTCACCCCATAAAAACTAACCAAATTCAGAAAGGAAAAAAAAAAGCTGGTGAACAAGAGGAGGAAACACCCACTTATTGGTTTCGTGTGAGCCCTAAAGCTTTCAGAGCTATCTTAACTCCAGAATCAGCACTGCTTCACCCTTAATTCACATATGTGTGGATTGTGGTGAGACTAAGGAGACTATTGAAATCAGGAATATGAAAAATATCTCACTTGGCTTGACAGTAAGTGGAAAACAAATTGACAAGTGGTTATCCAGAGTAAAGAAGAGCTATTTTTTGTCTGTAAAGATGATGGCATATATTGTACAGGAATCATCCATCGGCTAAACCTAGTAGGTTGTCGGATCTCTAGGGGAAAACCCTATGCCAACATACAGTAGATCAGGCACAGTGCTAGGCTCTCATTTTTCTTATGGTAGAAGAATATACACAACCTCAACATCCCCTTTTGACCATCTCTGTGTGTCGGTCAGTGGCCCTGAGTGCATTCTCCTTGTGCACTCCAGCTCCAGAGAGTGCTAAGTGCTTTCATCCATCTCTCTCGGCCCTTGCAGCATCCTTTGAGATCATGTTCATGTTCTTCCTGCAATGAGGATGTTTCAGAAAGGTTGTTTTAAGTTTCACACTAAGGTACTGGCAGAACCTGGGATTGAAACCTGGTGTGTTCATCCTCAACACATGTGGACGGGGGTGCCTGCCTCTCTGTCTTATTGTACCTTTCCCCCCTCCATCCTGTGCTGTTGCCCAGGGGTGATCCTGCTGCTTCTGGACAAGCTGCGGAAGATGAAGTGGGAGCAGATGTGGAGGCTGACCGCTGAGAGGGAGCTGATGGGCATGCTGTCCACGTCCTTAGCTGACCAGGTGAGTCGCTGGTTTACAAGCTGCCTGTATCCTCGAGCACTCTGGTGCAGTTTCTCAAGGAAACTTGAAAGTAGCAGGGTCTGCATTATTCTGCTGCTATTGGTGACTCTGGACACTTGGGTAGGCCTGACTTACACCTGCCAGTCAAAGACAATAGCTCAACTCTTTAGTTCATTCCCGATGTTCATGTAGCAGCATACATGACACTCTCTGTATGGCAAGAGTTGCATTCTGAAGAGGAGTGGAGGTATCAGTGAAGAATGCAGGCCCTGGGGCTCAGAGAACTGAGTTCATCGATGCTGATTTAAAAGTGAACGGTGACTGGGTGTGCTCCGAAGAGGTGGCTGTCTTCATCTCCACATAGGAGGCTCAGCATCTGCTTCCTGAGATTTCACACTGCCACAGAATGATTTCCCAAGCAAGATTTTATGTGCCTTCCTGGCATACTGAGTCTTAACTTTCAAAGCAGAGCCTTTTGCTCAGATCCTATATGGGTGACCCTATCCCCATGGGAAATGCATGTAAATAGGAGCGACAAGCCACCTGGCTGGAGAACCCAGCTTTTAACCCGGGCACTCTGAAAAAGCCCATGAACTGCATGCAAGCTCTTAATAAAAATTCCTAAAATCCCATTTTCTCATTTTAACTGGGTAATGAAAGGTGCAGAGCCTTTGACCTTGGACGCGACCCAGGCTCGCTCCCATAGATGGAGGGGTCGCTGGGGTGTTGCAGATGACCATATTGAAACAGCAAGATGACTTCTCTGGGTCTCTGCATCTATCTTTCCCTCTTTGTCCAGCAAACATGCCCACCCTCCATGTTTCTGCTCTGCTCAGTTGTCTGATGTGTCGAATTCTTGCAAATTTCTACAACAGAAAATGTTGTAGGGAGACTTTACGCTTTCTTTTTTTTTAGCATTGTTATTATTCAGTTCCCCAAGCACCCCAAACTCATTTCCTTCTTCAGACATGAGTATGGGGTAATGAATGAGTTAAAAATGACCCAGGTGGCAGTTTTAAACCTGAGGCGGAAATTGTCCTCCATCATCATATTTCAAGTCCAGTGGCGGTGACTGAGGTACCTCCCCAGAAGTGAACTGTCAGTGTCCATATCTGTGAGGATCATTTGTCCAGCCATCTCCTGCTGCCAGGGCCCATCAGTCACCGCCCAGTGCCACCTGTCAGTACCTCCTGAGTCAGCGTGGCTTGGGATGAGCCCAAAAGAGGTGAAGCCTCCCGGGAAAAGTGAGTGGGATTTCAAACTGGGGAGGACACACTCAGACGCCATGGCTGCGGGAATCCATGCCCCATCCATCACTGAGCCCCCCACCCCGGGAGATCCACTGCACCTGAGATTCTGTCGTCTGTCCCTGTGTCACCTGCAGTTTTCTCTTAAAGAGGCTCAGGACGGAGAACTTAGGGCCCCTGGATGGTGGGGTAAGGCAGGAAGGGTGTCTTCGTTTACTGTGTGCTGGCTCAGGTGGAGAAGGTGCCCCTACCTGACCCCTTGTAGATACGTGTGTGGAACCCAGGAGCTCAAGTCCACGTGAGCTTCCCCCACATTGCACCAAACCACCGCTCGGTCCCTAGAGGTGAAAGGTGGTGGGAGGCCCCGCGGGGTGACCTGTGTTCCCCCAGGAGGCTCTGGCACAGGTTGGCAGAGCGTCCAGGGCCTGACGCATGAGCAGAGCCTGCCTGACCATTTAGACTGTGTCCTGGCTTTTATTCCCCAGGATATTTTCAACGCCGTCATCAAGCAAAACCCCTTCCTGGTGTATCAGCTTCCCTGCTTCTGGAACGTGCAGCTATCAGACCACACGCGCTCTGAGCAGTGCTACCGGGATGTGTCGGACCTGAAGGTAAAGACTCGGTGGGTGGCAGGCCCTGCCCCGAGAGTGGGCGTTGGGAGGCTGTGCGGCCTGGCCTGGCGGGGTGGCCTTCAGGGGTCAAGTGGCCTGTGCGTGGTGTGCCGAGAGATAAGGGTACAGGCACACAGCAAGAAGGTATGTTCCCCTTTGATTTCTGCCTTCCTCTAGTTCGGGCTTTCTGGAAAGCAGAAGGCCTCCCAGCCCGGCAGCCAGCAGCTTATTCATCTTGCCACCAGCTGCTCGCTGTCTGGATTCATGTCGCTCCCAAAATCCAGTTGCTTAACTCAAACAAAAGCCATAACTGGGCATCTTCTGTGTGCCCAGTGCCCCAGAAGTGGATGTGAGTAACTCAGCTCCCACTTTCTGTTCACGTGCAGCTTCGAAAAGCAGGTGCACAGGTGAGGAAGGAAATGAATGTAAAAAACTAAGCCCAGACGCTGATGGATAGCTGTGGGCGGGGGATGGGACAGTGACAGAAGAGCCTTCTTCATTGGTCTCTGGGCACCAGACGCAGTGATGGGGTCTAGCAGAGGAAAATGAACAAGGGTATCCATCATCTCCTGCCCCAGAGGATGCCGCATCACAAGCTTTTCTAACAGTGGGTTAAGTCAGCAGTCATTGATGTGGGTGATGCATCTGCAGTTGGCTGGTGGTAGTCTGATCCAACTTCAGATGATGGCTGGTCACTGGGGCACCAGTTCCTCCCCCAGTGCCATTGTGTCCTGTCCAAGGCCAGACTGCCTTTTCTCAGGGCAAAGCTGGGGTGGAAGGGGAAGCCCTAGTGCACAGGAGGAAACCTGGAGTTCTATTGCCAATATCCTATGGCCCAGGTAAACGTTTGGCTGAGAGGTACGGAGTGGGTCAGCGCTCTCTCTGGTGGGATTGGTGAGGGCTGAACTGGGCCATTAAATGACAGATCAAGGACTTGGCCCCAGGCCCATCTGACACCAAGTATATATCAAATGGGAAGTAGATACCTGCGTGCAGAGAGAATTTATTTCATTGCCCATGTGAGCTGCAGTAAGCCTAATTGCAAATTTTAAAAAGGAGAAAGGAACCTAAACTTTGCTTTCCTAATAAGTCAGTCTTTTAAAATCGCTTTCTGTCTGCTCTATATGTACGTGCTCGCTCTCTCTCTCAAATATATAATATATATTATAGTCACAATGCATGTGGAATTTTGTATTCTTCTATTTCTTAGTCATTCCTGTTAAAAATTGGAATCCCCAAGCAATCATTTCTAAATAATAGTAATAACATATAATTTGTGGATTTATAAAAGGTTGTACTTAAAATGTCAGACAATGACATCATGTAAGTCAGGAGGGAAGTGATTAGAATTAAAATATTCTGAGATCATTGTTTTGTTGAGGGGGAGAGAAGAGGTGTTTAGCCTCTAAGCTAAGTGTGTGTGTGCTGACATTCAAGGTTACGCTCTGAAAGAATTGAAAAAGGTGCATAACTTATAAATCCCTAGCAGGTGGAGTGGTAGATGGAATAAGCAAAACCAAAGCAAAATAGCTCAATTGTTAAAAAGAAAAACAATGACAGAAAAGTACAAAATGAAAGCTTAGAAGAAATGGGGGGACTAGAAAACCAGAAATCAAGGTGATTAAAATAAGTCCAAATCTGTCAATAATCAAACTAATTTTGGCAATGAAAAGACAGACTGTCGGATCGAATAGGCCATGTTTGCCAACATATGCTATTTACAAGAGACATAACCTACCATGTACCAACCTGAAAAGGCTGATAGAAAAATTGTGGGGAAAGATTCCAGGCAATTATCACCCAAAAGAAAATGGGAGTAACTATCTTGATCAGACAATGCTTTGATAGATATAGAGATGATCGCCACTTAAAAAAGTTCACCAAGAAGGTATAAGAATCCTAAATATTTATACATCTCATTCATGAGGTTTAGACACCGAGTTCAATAAAACACCAAAGCAGAATCGACAAATCCACTATCATAGTAGAATATTTTAACAAATCCTTTTCAAATATTGAAGGAGCAAACCAAAAAAAAAAAAAAATGGTTTAAAAATACTAAAGATTGGCCCAGCAAGGTTAAAAATTTTGATTTATTGGCCAACTAGGGAACTCGCTACCTAACAGAATATACATTTTTCTCAGGCTCACCTGGGACGTTTATTAAAAAGTAGCCATGGACTAGAGCATAAAGCAAATTTCAGTACACTCTTAACACAGTATACTTGCATGAGGAAGCAGTAACGATGTTTTTTCTAAATTGTATTGAAGTAACATCAGTTTATAGCATTGTTTGTATAAGTTGCTTCAGGTGTGAGCGATTACATAGCAACATCTGTATAAAGTACCTTCTGTTCACCACTAAAATTCTAATTCCATCCTTCACCATAAATTGATTAAAATTGAGGACACACTTCTAAATGACTCACAGTTTTAAACAGAAATCATAATTGAAACTGAAACCTACTTAGAATTAAATGAAAATAAAAATGATACATGTCAAAATTAGTGGAATGAAACAAACATGTAGGGAAACTTACAGCCTTAACTTTCATATTAAAGAGGAGAAAGGCTGAAAATTAATACGCCAAGCTGATAACTTCAAATGATATATAAAGAACATTAGAATAGATTCAAAGTCATAAAAGGCAGGACATAAAGAAGACCAGAGCAAAAATTGATCAACAAATTACTCAACAAAATCCAAAGTTGTTTCTTTGAAAGGGATCGATAAAAATAGACAAAGCAATGGCAGAATTCACTGATAAAAAGCCAGAGAACTCATCAATAAATGAATAGGAAGACATAATGCAGATTTATTTATTCACTCTAAATGTTTTTGAGCCAAATAGTCTTCAGAGTTCTAGCAATACAGCAAAAAATCAAAGCAAACAAAAGTCTCTCAGATTGCAGAGCTTTAGATGCAATAGATAAAGCAACATTGTAGGAGATAATAAGAGAATACTGTGAACAAAATTATATCAATAAATTAAAAAACTCAGAGGAAATGAACAAATTCCTAGAAATGTATAACTTATCCAAAGTAATTTAGGGGGAAAAAATATAAATCCTGGATATTCTTCTAGCCCTAAACCTTCTTATACTGAAAACAGCATCCAGAGATGATAGTTGAGATAAGTTCCACCAAATTTTTTTAAAGATTTATTTATTTATGCATACAAGAAATAGGGTACAGGCCAGAGGTGTGGGGGCTGAGAGGATTCACCAGAGACAGAGCGGGGAGCAGAACAGGCAGGTCTACTGAAACACACTGCTGAGGGGAGCAGCGGATGAGTCAGCTACCCATGTGGGTAGCTCCCTGGCCAGGGATTGAACTCGTGCCCCAGTGGCTGAGGATAGCTTCATAGGTGGCATCTTAACCCCTTGCACCACCAGGGAGGCCCTCTGCCCAATTTTTTAATCAAGTGATATTTCCAATTTGAAGCAAACTTTTCCAGAGTGTAGGAAAAGAGGAATACTTTTTAGTCCTTTCCACGAGGCCAGGATGTCCTTGCTACCAAAATCAGATTAGGAAAGTTAACGAAAGGAAAATCGCAGGCCTGTCTAACCGATGTATAAACTCATGCAGAAATCTTAAGCAAAATATTAGCAAACTGAATCCAGCCACTTGTAAAATGGATGGCCAACTTGGCTTCACTCCAGGAAAGACAACAATGATTTCACATTAAAAAAATCCACAGGTGGCATTCAGTATGTTAATAGATTAAAGGGTGAAACACCACATAATCATGTAAATCGATGCAGTGATTTGATAAAAGTAAATATTCATTCATGACAGAAACTCTCAGTATCTACTGAAAACCTATAGCAAACTTTTCCCTAGCACTGGCTTAGGGATGTGATCATTCATTAGCATAAAAGAACACGGAGCCCAGGAACACCCACACATTTATGGAAATTTGATATGAAGAGGTGGCATTTCTGGCCACTGGAGAAAGGATGGGATTGTTGATAAATGGTACTGATTATTCATGTGGGGAATGAAAATGGACCCCTCTCTCATACCATGCACAAATTTCTGATGAATGAGGTACTTAAAACTGAAAGGCAGTGTATACTTCTAGCTCCAATAGATAGAGCAAAATTATAGGAGATAATAAGAGAATACTGTGAACAAAATTATATCAAAAATTTAAAAAATTATAGGAAATGAATTTTAAAAAATGAGAAAATTGGCCCATGACCTCAGAATAAGGAAGAAATTATTCATCTGGACTCTACAAACTGTTGTCATGAATGAGAGGACAAATAAATTCAACCCCATTGAAATTACTAATTCCGTCAAAGTGACATCACAAAGAACAAAAGAGATTTTCAACACCCATAACTAACAAAGGACTAGTAAGGAAAATATACAAAGAACTCCTGCCAATTAATAAGAAATAGCGTGTCAAAGATAGAGTCATTTTATTGAATGACCAGGGAGCTGACCCACATGGTGCCACAGACCTCTCCTGTCTTGCCTGCTGCTCCCCTTAACAAGATATTTCAGTAGATCTGCCTGTTCTGCTCCCCACTTTGTTTCTGGTGAATCCTCTCACCCACCACACATCTCTGGCCTGCACCCCAGCTCTTGTATGCATACATAAATAAATCTTGGGCCTTCCTGGTGGCACAGGCGGTTGAGTGCAGAACTGTGAAACTGTCCACAGCCTCTGCAGCGCCGATTCGATCCCAGCCCACTAGCGAGAAGCCCACATGGCGCAGCAGACCTCTCCTGTCTCACCCACTGCTCCCCTCAGCAGTGTATTTCGTCAGTCTGCCTGTTTTGTTCCCCGCTCTGTCTCTGGTGAATCCTCTCACCCTCCCGTGCATCTGGCCTGTAGCCCAGTTCTTGTATAAAAATAAATCTTTAAAAAAAATAAAAAAGAAAATGGCCAATAGACATTTGAAAAGATGTGCAACCTCTTTTTTAAACCATTAAGTGAAAATTAAGCCCAGAGATCTTTGCCCAGCACCCAATTTGAAGAGCAGGACAC